GCCGGGTCTCACCGCCGACGACGTCGACAAGCTGCACAAGACGCGCTCGAGTCTGAGCAGCGCCATCGACAACGCGTCCAGCTCCAGCACCGGCACAGTGACGCCGCCCGTGAGCCGGAAGACGCCGCTGCCGCCGGCGGTCGCCGCGGGCGATGTGGCCGAGTCGAGCTCGGACGAGAGCGGCAACGACTCGTTCACGTGCTCGGAGTTTGAGTACGACGGCCCCGCGGCGGACAACCCAGCCGACCGGCTGTCGCGGCTCATGCAGGAGCGCAAGGCGAAGGACTACGACTCACATGGCTCGATGAGTACGATCGTCGCTTCGGACGACGACTCGTCGCCGCACCGCCCGCCGCAGCCGCAGCCGCCCCCGCGCGCCAACGGCGGCAGTGTGAACCCGCAGGGCGTCATGTCCTGGGACAACCTCCTCAACTGGGGGCCGAACTTCGAGAGCCTCGTCGGCGTGTTCAAGGACATCGCATCGCTGGACGACGGCGCGACGGGCGACGAGCAGCCACTGCAGCAGCAGCTGTCCGGTCCGCCGGTCAGCGAGGAGTACGTGTGATGTTAGAGCCTCACCCTGACCACGGACGGGTTCACACTGCCGGTGTCTCACTAGATAAACTATTGTTAGCTCCGTGAAACGAGTCTGGCTAGCAATCGATCAAAACGTGGGTTTTTTATTACAGTGAACTGTTTTTTTTCTGTGGTTGTTGTCCGTTTGTGGAACGTGTTTGTGGATTGGATAATGGCGGGAACATATCTATACGATATATATGTGTATATAATATATATATAGTATATATGTATGTTCATGGTAACCGTCACACAGCTGTTTTGTACAAACATAAGTTTTAATCGCCCGCCAGTGTACATAGCTGTGGCATATTTTATTTTTTACATGTACATGAGAATCTTTCATAGATATTGAATTTTACGTGAAGGTTTGGGCGGGCAGTCGACATGCATAACAATTATTTTCATGGGATCAAGTAACGATGATGTTCTACCACAGTTTGTAGAGTAGAATCAAGAGTACATAATAGAGATCTCTATTATGTAATCCCTATTATGTACTCTTGGTAGAATGTACCTTTTGTATTATTTCACTCTACTCGAGTCAAGTGCTTCCAGACCACCGCCAATTTTATAGAAATATCGTGAGTTTGCCTTATGTGGCATTTATAACGTGTTGAAGATGTGACACATTATTTGAGCTATATACATATATATATCAGGAGTAAATAATCACAAATCAACATTTGTGATTATTTACTCCTAAAATATGTGTATATATTGTTTTGTTGTTTTATTCGTTAAATTATTGCCGGCCATGTTCTTGCGCAGCTATATTTTAATTATATATGCTAAACACACATTAGGTGTTCTTTTAACGTGCACTGCCCAACCAACGCTATCATACTCATTAGATAAGACGGCAATCGATTGTGTGTGTACATCCTTACTGGCAGTGTTATGCGCATACTATAATGGTAGCCGCTGCAATCATGCCGTTATGTATTACGCAGATCAGTGCATGATTTCTGCGTGTAATCTGCATTTTGCAAGATTTGTCCAATCATTTGTTCTCATGATCAAATTCTGTTGCGTTATGTGATGACCAGTTGTCTTGCGTTCCCTCACACCAGTATTGCAGCGCCAAAAGTAAACAGGGCTTCTTGAATCTCTGATGAGGGAATATAACGTGCTAAATGTCGCATGTGTCGATCGTGCTGCAACTACCAATTGTATAGATTTTTAAGTTTGTAAATATGAATATCACAGTCGTATTAATTAATTTTTAAGGTAAACCGTTACCCCGTGTAATATAACGTATTACGCAATGTAAAATCAAACAATTTCTAAAATATAATAAATTTCGACAATACTTTTATAAATTAAAATGGATCTGTTTTTGTAAATCTGTATGGTCGTGTGACATCCATCCTTTAACGGTTAACATCTATAGTATACGCAATACGATTTTTAATGTTGCTGATGCAAGATTCGAATAGATACCATGATTTGCACTGTACACATACCGCGGTTAAATGACTGGAAAAAATTGGTCAATAATCGGTTGATTTGGTTATAAATAAGCAAGTCCCAAATTTTATACCAGTGAAATCTATCTATTTATTACGATCCAAAAAAAATCATGTTTATGATATTTCAAGTTTTCTTTTAGTGTTACATTGATATGACATGATTGAAAATAACTACATGTATTTAGCAGCAAATATCAGTGCGAACTTATTGTCATTTTGGGTCCCAGAATGCAGGAAATTGCATCTCGGAATCAAAAAT